CCAGGACACTTTTAGTTGGAATGAAATGAACAACAGAACAAATGGTGCTACTGAAGATGTGTCACCTGAAAAAGCCACTGTCGAAGAAGAAACTCTGTCCAGTTTTGAGAAGGAAAACAGTGAAGCCATTAATGATGTTACTACCACTAATGTGACTGCTACCGATAATGAGACATTTCCTGATGGAGCAGATGAACCCCATGTGAAGCAGAAGCCGATGAGACATCCTGTAAAATTAAGAGACTTTGTTGTATTTTAATTTTGTGTTTGTAAATTCTGTACATTTAATTAAGTTATTGTTAATTATCTATTGGTTTAATATAACTGACTATTGTTCGTCCCGAGCAATACTAAGAAAGGGACAGTGTTACGACAGCGGAAGTCACCTGACGCTGGTGACACGTGATGAATTTCTCGAATGATCATGATTGATCGGGGAGGCCCGAGTGTATTCGAGATGCCCCCTTCTTTGGTATATAAGTCTGGCAGCGAAAGCCAATGGAATAATATAAAGTGTATGTTTTGTACTTGTCGAGAGCGAAATTATCGAGATTCTGAATCGCTGTGATTTATAGCGTGTATTATAAAAGTTGTTAAGTTTAAAGTGACAAGAAATGTACTGACAGTGGAATTACTGTGTACTAAAAGTTTGTATTGAGAAAGAATAAACTGGTTTAATCAAGAAGGTACTTACATCGCTGAAGTTCCTCGGAAAGAAATTCTACCGGAAATTAACAAACAAGCGGATACGTAACATTATTATACATGCTTATAGTACGAAAATAAAATAAACAGACTTAAATGTATATATATTAATATATCCGAAAAACCAAGGTCCACGAAGTATATCACTTTCAATACACATTAAAGGAAGACACTTAAATCGTTTTTGAGTCATTGTTGTGTGCAAATCGTTTCTGATATATTTCAGCTTTGAAAAAGACCTTTACTTGACCAGTTAGATATCATGAGTGACAGATAAATATAATGAAATATTCGATATACTTTATATGTTTTTGTGTGTGTGTAGTTTGTATGTATGTATGCTTGTGTGTCGCTGTGCATGTTTGTATGTATGTGTGCACCTTGTATATATATATATATCATATATGTGTTTGTGTTGTGCAGCTGCATGTCTTCTATGTATATTTTTGTATGTATATGCTTGTTTATGGATTTATATGTGTATGTGTACATGTGGGTGTTAGTGTATGTATATTGTATGTGCGGATGAGTTTGGTGATTTGTTCGTTGCATTCTGGGAGCTCCCGAAGAAATGTTGCCAATTAGGCAAGCTGAGACCATTGAGTGGTTTGGATTAAGCTGATGCCTGTATGCACTATTGTATTTATGATAATTACACTCGTTTTCTATTATCAATAATTTCTAATAAGTTATATTCTATTTCAGGCCACCTATAATAGAACAGTTATAACTATAGAAATAAAAAATCAGTTTAGCCTAATTGTTTACAGTTCATAATATAAATATTAAAAAAAACTTTGTGGAGGGCCTGAGCCAGTTGCCTCATGATAAATCCGGCACTGAGTTGTTTACCTTCAAGTATATTACGAAAACTGACGATTTATACACTTTCCACAGTCTGACACTGTGCACCCAGCCTGTCACAAAGTATTTATAGGCATCTAAACTTTGTATGCCTCCAATATGAGGCACTAATATTAAAAAATAGATAACTGAAAATATCTGGGTATTCCATGTCGGAAATTTCCATAATTGTGTCTCTGTTTGTCAACATGACTAATGAAGTGGCAGCTAAACTTGTGGTCATTGCTGGGGGAATAGAATACGGGTCCGTCACAGCCATTCAAAATTGCTGACATTTTACCTTGTACCGATGTTTAGACGGTTCATCTAAATCCTTTGTTAAAGCCTAAGCACAGACAGCATCTGTGTAGTTGCTTTGCACCATGAAACGTCAATCATAGCGCTAAACGCAAAGTTTTCCTGTACACAATGTAACATTACAGTTGGGAAAGTCGTCATGTTTACGTCCAAAATGACAGATGGTAAAACTAGTTACGCTTTCAGTCACGTGCCTGCATAACCTCTATAATGAAAATGGTCGCTGATGTGGTTAATTTAAGAATGGTGGGATATCGCGCTATAACTTTTCTGTGATCTAACAGTGTGGTCTTTTGTGAATTGAAGACGTTTAAGCTTCATACCTATCCAATCAGCGAATTTGAAGCTGGCCAATTTTAATAGGATCCCAGTACAACAGATCGTTGTTACTCTTTGTTGACAGTATGTTCCAATCTTTTATTCTGCTGCCCATATTCGATTTATTCCTTGCAAGGTAATTCCTAAATCTGTTATTTATTGTGAATCTTAAGCATAAAACTGAAGTCCACAATACCACATACACATACACACAAAGGTTTGGTATTTATATTTTAAGATGAAAAATTCAGTAACAGGGAAATATTTTTTATTCAACTGTAACAGGTTTGAAATGCTTATTTCAGTTATGTATAAAAACTAACTCGTATAATCATAAGAACGAGAAGATTGACAGAAACTTACAAAACCTTCCAATTTTTATTTATTTAAGTTGATAAAATATTTTCCGTACTAACTGCGCACCTTAAAGCTTTCAACAATAACATGGTGTTCTTGTTTGGATAGGACTGATTCAGCAACAGAATATTTTAATGTATTAAAAGAGTAGTGTTGACTGAATGGCATTGATGTACCAAAAAGTAAAGTTGATCATAAACATATTGGACGTAGGTAACAATATAGATAACGTACCAAAAAATGTTTAGTTTGGAATAATAACAGTGCTGTTTTAATTAACTGGTACTAATATAACAGAAAAATTCAAACATCTGTAATAACTAAATGATATGAATGTAAAAGAATTAACATCTGTCTTGCCTTTCATTTATTTAGGTCTATCGCCAAACAGGTTTTGATAAACATGTACCCACGCTGCTGGATAAACAGAAAATCAACTATTTTGATGAGCCGAATTGTGTAATCTTGATCATCAGAAATTTAGATTTAATTTTTTTCTACTTAGACAATAAAAGTCTTTATTTTCTTCAAATAATAGTTTGAAGTTGCATAATTTATGTCAAACTAAATGTACATTTTTAAGTGGCACCATTGAAATTAGTAACTATGCTGTAAAATGTATACATATTGCTTCCTCTTTGGAAACTCAAACGGGCAGTGTTCCACGTATTAGTAAGTGTTCTGAAGAAATCGCTATTCCTGGTTTTTGTAGCCAACTTTACAACTGAACATCAAATAAAGCAAAGTATTTTTGACCATTTTTTGTTAAGAACATAGAATATTTTAACGAAAAAAAGAGAGAGATTGCCTAAACACGAAAGCTTATGATAAACTGTTAACAAAGTTATTTGATAAATCATTTTTTGAAAGCAATTGAGAACAATGTGATCAATCAGCATGAAACGGGTTTATTTTCACAAATATTTAGTGCTTGTGGTACAGCAGATAGAAAAAGGAAGAAAAAAGTGCTACCCCCAATTAACCCATGGCTTTCATTCCGAAAATAAAAGGTCAAATGGTTTGAAGAGTACAAGCGTTAGAAATTAAATTTCATTTACAGATTTGTGTTGAAGATGTCTTCGCACCGTCATAATATTCAAACTTTGTTTGCAGCCAGTTGATGACGTTTCCGGTGTTTTCTTTTTCCGCACAACAAGGTAATGATTTGCATTCTTTATTGAGGCAAGACCCTACACGGAAAATTTGACTGCTGGTCAAAACTTCGTTCCAGAGCATTAGCTGAGTTATATCGCCAACCAGGTTTTGGGTAGAATCAAAGCCACCACCCAAGGTGTCTTGTTCCTGACCCACAACTAATACGCCACCTGCCCGGACTGACATCCCAGTGGCTATGCCGTTTACCTGATTGCTGCAAAAGCCTTCATCAACAACCAGTTCAACTCTTCCTGTAGCACTACTCCACGTAACACAGACATCGTGCCATACGCCTCTAGTTAAACCTGGACATTGCAATACTGCCAAGTTGTTAACAACTCGTAAGGTTATGTTTACTGGCGCGTTCATGTTGGCCGTGAGAAGAATTTCGTTGCTGTCAGAGCCAGATCCAATTGCATAAGAAATAATGAAGTTTTCGACATTTGCAGAACTCTCTATCTTCAATCGGAGGCACAGAGTAAACTCAAGCAAGCGTGGTAGGGATGGAACCATTACCATACGGGGAAAGCTAGTGGAGGTGGAGGGCGGAAACTCTACCTTCACGGCGTCTTCTCCCCTCCTTAGGCCACTGATAACTACAGTCATCCAGGATATTGTTAAGACTGCGAAAAATAAATATATTTTAGCCATATTGTTGAATGTGCTCACTGAACAAGTTTTGCAAACTTTGGACTAGAGAAAAACAGGCTCCAACACGTGGAAATAATACTAGTGATTGCGGAAGCAGCATTAAGACCTTTTTATAGTTCTTACCAGCTGTTCAAAAACCCAATTATAGAAAGGTTAGATAATAAAATCTGGTGAAGTTGCACTACAATTTTCACACGTGGCATTCGCTAGCTGATATTATTTGCTACGTCATCTCACAAGTGTCATTTTGAAGCACATTATCCTCCTCGTATTTCAAAATGATTTATCTAACACTTGATAGTAAAAATACAGGATTGTTCATGGATTTTAAACACTAGAGTATGACATTTAAATAGCAAAAATGTATTAATAACAATTAATAAAAACTATCTGGGGCACTGCATAACAGCTATAAATGCTCCTGTTTATGAATGACTTCCAGTTGTTTAAGCTAGAAACAGTTGTTTAACAAACATTTCCAGATCTTTCACATGTAACATTCCACGAAAATTATGTGCCCTATTTTTAGCGCAAAGCTGCATGATGGGTTATCTGTGCTGTACTTACCGTACGATTGATTCTAACATTTTAACGTCGTAAGCTCTGAAACTTACAGCTGTTCTGCTTCATCGGGATTTAGGTCCTTGTTTGGACCGGGGAAGGTCAGGTGTAATCTTGACCTTTTCCTCCCGCATAGTGGGTGTAATTTCTCCCTCAACATAGGTGTTGTTTTAATATTTCAGCATTTTGATTTCTCGGTATTTTTGTACACTGCCAAATGTTGAACGCGACATAAAAGAAGGTATTGCTTTCATGAGTGTTTATTATATGAATTCAATTTCCTTATCAGGGCCATGTCCATTTATGTTCAAACGTTCACCATTTACACTGGGATATACTTGCTAATTTGAAGTCCATATATTCCAATGCCATTCATAATGTGGCTTATTCTATGTGTATTTACATAAATACCCTTTTAATACACTATATTATAAACTACATAATGATATTTTAGGTAGGTCTAACAATAGGTGGCATATTACTAAACTTATAGTACATTTTTATGGGTGAGAGGTACTTAGGCTCATTTCCATCATGTATGATATAACGATCTAGTACGTGTAACATTTCGTCGTTATGTAGATTTTTCTTGAAATAGGTGAATGATCTGCTTAGAAGTCCATCATGGAGTGGTTGTAAGTTTGCGTATTTATGTAGGAAGTGAGAATTTGTTGAGCGGGAACTCTGTATGCGTTAGTGAGTATTGCATTTTGTTGTTTTTGTAGTTTAGTTTTAATTTTGTTGGGTGTAACATTAATCCAGGATGAATAAGCACATTCTATAACTGGTTGTATGTATAGTTTGTTTATTTTAATATATTTCTCGGTGTTGTTTCTGTATTATTTCCTGACAGACTTCTAACTTGATTTATCCTTTGCCAGATTTTGTTTGAAATTTCATTTATATGTTTTTGCCAAGTAAATCTTGTATCATATGTAAGACCGATAAATTTTGCTCATGTAGCTATCTGGAGGAGTGTTCCGTTTAGATATAATATGGGGATTTGGAGGTAGCGCGGAAATAATTTTGTTTGTTTTAAATTTCGCACAAAGCTATAAGAGGGCTATCTGCGCTAGCCGTCCCTAATTTAGCAGTGAAAGACTAGAGGGAAGGGAGCTAATCAACACCATCCACCGCCAACTCTTGGAATATTCTTTTACCAACGAATAGTGGGATTGACCGTAACATTACAACGACCTCACGGCTGAAAAAGCTAGCATGTTTGGTGAAACGGGGATTCGAATCCACAACCCTCAGATTACGCCCTAACCTTCTGGCTATGCCAGGCCCCGCGGAAATAAACCAACGTTTATAACAGAATAAACCAATTGGTAAGTTAAAAGTTTTCAAGCAAGCACGGTTGAGAAATTGATAAGCAAAGTCAGTATTTTCTATGTATTATTTTTATTTATTTATTTTTTTTTTTTAATTACACAGGCCTGCGATGGTTCTATTGTATTGAAATTTTTACGTGTTCTCCAGTAATTCCTGTACGCTGAATCCGAAAATGATATTCATTTTCCTCCATCACGTACAGAACTTTCACAAAATGTCATAACGCAATACATAAAAGAAAGACCACAACACGTAGATTTGTGACTAAAAGACGTAGATTTCACACAAAAATCGGGATGAATGAGAATGTATATTCGTTTAACATCAATGTTCTTCCCTTTTCTTCAGTTTGTATTTTTTGTTAACAAAACATAATAATAATAAATGTTCATTGTAGTAAACGAAATAACAATTAGTTTTAAGTAAGAATTTTTCTTCCTGATTTGTAAAAAATCCTTACATGATTGAAAAAAAATGAATATCATTTTCAAAATCTACGT